CAGGTGGGTGCGTTGGTGTTTGATCAGGTTGGAGCGGACGCCGAAGCTCTTGCCGCAATCCCCGCATTTGTAGGGCTTCTCCCCGGTGTGCATGCGGCGGTGCTTCGCCAGCGCCGAGTTCTGCCCGAATCCCTTCCCGCATTCGGGGCACACGTATGGCTTCTCCCCGGTCTGGGTGCCCTGGTGCTTCACGCTCTCGGCTCTGCCGGCCGCGCTCTTCCCGCACTCGCTGCACTTCCCTCCGTCCGATTTCCACCTCCTCCCTTTCTCCTTGCCGCAGCCGTCGGCGTGGATCCTGCGGTGCCTCTCCAGGTGGGAGCTCTGCGAGAAGCTCTTGCCGCAATCCCCGCACTCGTAGGGTTTCTCCCCGGCGTGGATGCGCCGATGCCGGTCCAGGTGCGAACTCCAAGCGAAGCTCTTGCCGCACTCCCCGCACGCGTACGCTTTGCCGGCGCCGTGGCCGCGTTGGTGCTGCGCCAGCGCCGCGCTCAGCCCGAATCCCTTCCCGCACTCGCCGCACTTGTAGGCCTTCTCCCCCGTTGCACCCCGACGCCGTCGCTGCTCCCTCGGCGCCGCCGTCCCCAAACGTTTCCCCCCCGTTTTCCCGCAGCATTCGCCGCACCGAGCCGAATCGGAGCCGTGGGTTCGCCGGTGCCGCTCCAGGTGCGAGCTCCAACTGAAGCTTTTGCCGCACTCGGGGCAGGCGTACGGCTTCTCCCCAGTGTGGATCCTGCGGTGCCGCTCCAGGTGCGAGTTCCAATTGAAGCCCTTCCCGCAGTCGCCGCATTTGTAAGGTTTCTCTTCCAGGTGTTGTTTTTGGTGTTTCACCAAACCGGAAGCGGCCGGGAAGGTTTTACCGCAGACACCGCATTGGCACAGCGGCGTCGGGGACGGCGCGGCGCCGTGAACCCGTTGGTGTTGGACGAAGGCCGAAGCCACGCCGAAGGCTTTGCCGCATTCGGGGCACTTGTAGGGCTTGTCGCCGTTGTGCCGCCGCTGGTGGGTGATGAGCGTGGAGCTCAAGCGGAAGCACTTCCCGCACTCGGGGCACTTGTAGGGTTTCTCGGCCCCTCGCCGGCGTTTGGGGAAAGCGGAAGCGAAAGCCAAAGCCTTGCCGCAATCGTGGCACCTGCCGTGAGCCAGCAGGTTCTTTGGGGGGAATCTCTTGAAGGCGCGAGGCCCCGTTTTGCCTCCCCC